AGAAAAAAGGGAGGGAAAAGGGGGAGAAAAAGGGAGAGAGGAAAAAAAATAAACAGGAGGGGAAAAAAAAAGAAAGTACAAAAGGAACAAGGCTAGGAACAAATAAGAGAACCAGCCTTGGACCCCAGCCAGAAAAATAAAACAAACCAAGAGAGAAGAACAAATTGAGAACACAGAGATCCCTGGTGACGTATCCACTGGAGCAGGGGCCGGGGTGGACGCGGCGTTCCAGGAACCCGCCTGGGCCCCGCTCCTGCTCTCACCTTTTCAAAGCTTTTCAGTGTCACCTCGTACACCAGCTCTGCATTCGCCTGGATCCCGAATTTCGGCTTCCCTGCCTCACCAAAGCCGTACCTGGAAGGGTAGAAGAGGAGGGGGGTGGGAAAAAAAAGAAAAAAAATCTTAATTTTGGCAGCTTTTGGCCATAAACACAGACCTGTTCTGGTTTCAGACCCAGCTCCACGCCTGCTGCTTTCAAACATTTTGGGGCCAGGGTGATGTTCTTCTCCACAAGCAAAGATATCTGACTATACACAATATTGTATTGTATAATAGAATGTGATTAAATATTGTGAATCATCCTCTTGGGATGCAGCAAATCCCCCTTTTCCCACAGGTTTCTCTCCAGTGTGAGGTCCCAGCCCTGTGATTTCCAAGGAGACATTTTCCTTTCAGCCACAGGACTCTGATAAAACCCTTTTACTTGATTTTTAAAGCATCTCAAGATTCCTGCCTGCAGACTGCTGGTCACTCTTGCCGTCCCTGCCGGTATCACTAACCCAAAGCTCCCCTGGAAAATCCTATTTTTAGGATCATCCTCTTCCACCACTGCTAAAACAATTTTGGATGCTGGAAGCTTAAAACTAGACAGCATCCCCACGGGGATGCTCCTCACCGTGGCCCGAGGTAGAGGATGCAGTGCTCTCCCCTCTGCATCTTCTCCAGGGCTTTGTCGATGCCGATGGGGATGTCGTGGTCCTCCCCTTCGCCCACCACGAATTTCACATCTTTGCAGTCGAACCTGGTGCCACCACAGAATCCTTCCAGGTGAACTGCAAGGGAAGGCGAGAGGGGAATCGCACCCAGAGCCACCCAAAACCAAAGCAAGGTGGGCTCCAAAGAAAATCATCGAATCCCAGACTGGTTTGGGTTGGAAGGGACTTTCAAGCTCATCCAGTCCCAACCCCCCTGCCATCAGCAGGGACACCTTCCACTAGACCAGGTTGCTCAAAGCCTCATCCAACCTGGCCTTCAACACTTTGAAAATATAAAATATCTTATAAATCTTTTATATCTCCCCAAATCCAGCAAAACCTCCAGCCCTGGAAGGGGGAAAGACAGAGGGAAGGAGCCCACGGTGAGCAGAGAAGGATGGGGAGGGCTTGGAAACCTTGCTGAAAAGCAAGAGAGGCATTATCTCGCCTAACCAAGGACGAGACAACAGATAAACATCGTGACTAATATGTTCCCCTCGTACTCCACTGCACGAGTCAAGTCTTACTGGAACTGGATATTGCTCCTGGCACGCTGCCACGCAGAGTTTATCACGGCGATTACAAATCTTCTATAGGGTACTATAGTGCCTTGCCTTCCACCTCAGAAACAAGGCTGTGTTCTCCTGCCTCTAAGAACTCAAAGTACAAGATAAACGTTATTTTTCTATTTTTTTTTTTTTTTAATTTATTTATTTTTTTAATCTCTATCCAATAACCACACTGTTCCAGCCCCAGAAGCACAGCCGGAGCGGACACAGGGTACCTGGCACATTTACCACCTGGTACTCCTGGCTGGGTTTCCACAGTAAGATTATTCTTGTAGTTATTTGAACCTGAAGATGTTTTTAGGCTTTGGGGGAAGATGTTTTATGTTCTTTGCGCTCTGCTTGCAGGGTACAAGGCACACGCATGTGGGTAGGTATAAAGTAAAGTAAATTTTATAAGGAACTGTTATGTAGCATTAAAAACAAAAAGCCAAAAGAAACAAACAAAAAAGCTTTTAAGAGGAAAAATTCATAGTAAGCATCACAACTGTGCTTAAGGAGTTTGGAAGGACAGAGAAGAGATGTCACCCATGCAAGTGTTGCTGAAGTGGGGAGAGGAGGGATGATTGGGAAAAAAACAACCCTCAAGCCTCTGGAAACAGCCCCCCCAGCACTGCACGGAGCCACAGGATGGGACCCCAGATACCAGGGGACACCGAGCCAGCAGCCGCCGTGCCGGACGCAGCCCAGAGGGTCCGGGCTCCGTATGGGAGAGCTGCAGGCTGGGCTGAAGGAAACCTGCCCCATGGACACCTCCCTGTCCCAGGACCTATGGAATGTCCCTGGGATAGACACACACTAAGGGGACCACGGGCAGACCCCAGTCCCAGGGCAGATCCAGCCCCCGGGCGTTACACGTCACCATAACACAGCCCGAGGATGCTCCCCCCACCGCGGGGACAGGACACCAAGCTCTGCCTTGTCACCCCCCTCCTGCCACCAAAACTGGGACTCAAGGACAAAAGGCAAATCCAGCTCCTCCAGGGCCAACCTCTGCTTTTCCACTACCCAACCCCAAGCTGGCTATTTTCTTAAGGATAGAAAAGCAGAAAAATTCAGCTTAAAATACAGACAACCCCTCCAGCACCATCCCATCTCCCTGCACACTCCCACTGAGTACAGATCCATAATCCCTGACCCCAAAAGCAGCACTACAGCTCTCCCAGGGTCCCCTGGCCCCAGCAGGATGAGGCAGCAATGGGAAGCTGCCTTCTTATAGTGGCCTCCCAGTACCTGAAGGGGCTACAAGAAAGCTGGGGAAGGACTTTTCATAAGGGCAGTTAATGACAGAACAAGGGGAAATGGGTTTAAACTGAAAGAGGGGAGGTTTAGATTAGATATTAGGAAGAAGTTCTTCACTGTGAGGGTGGTGAGACAGTGTCCCAGGTTGCCCAGAGAAGCTGTGGCTGCTCCTCCCTGGAAGTGTTGAAGGCCAGGCTGGATGAGGCTTTGAGCAACCTGGTCTAGTGGAAGGTGTCCCTGCTGATGGCAGGGGGGTTGGGACTGGATGAACTTTAAAGTCCCTTCCAATCCAAACCATTCTATGATTCTATGATTCTATGAAGATCCCAGTTGATCACAGGAGGATCCTTCCCTTCGAGGACTGTTTCACTCTATTTTAATAACACATAAAACACACCAAGCAAAGAGGGGAAAATCTCCGCTCGGGTTTCCAGGAGCAGGTCAGTTGGCTGCAGTCACTCTTGGATTACAAGGAAAAAAAAATAAATACAACAACAACAAAAAAAAAACCCCAACCAACCACCCGAGCTGCTGAAGGAACATCACTCCGGTTGCAGCTCTGACTTATTGTTCTCTCGGTGCCTGCAGCGATTTTGTTTTTGAAGAGCTGAGAACAGAGTGTACTGAGTGCGGCTGGCACACGAACTTGATGTGCTGACAGCAATTTGTACTCAGATTAAAAACGGAGAAGGAGGAGGAGGGGTGGGTGGGGAGGTGGTGGCGGGGGGGAAAGGTTGTAACAAAAGCTGGAATGCCAGATTTCAACTCTAGCCTGGGTTTTAGGGACCGGAACTGTGAATTAGGGTCTGTAAAATTGAAAAACTTATAAAAACCTTTTCAAAACTTCAGTCTGGAGATGCTTGCTCCTGTAAGAACAGTTCCTTCCAGCCTAATTCCAGCAGCGATGTACCTCCCAAATACACAGCTGAGATAAACCATCACTGCTTCCCTGAGCTGGGCTGCCACGCTGTCCCCACGGCCATCACGCTCTCCCCACGGCCGCCACGCTGTCCCCACGGCCATCACGCTGTCCCCACGGCCATCACGCTGTCCCCATGGCCGCCAC